GATGAACTGTGATGAGAAGATGTGGAAGGAAGGAATGGGAAAAGGTCAGTCTACTCAGAGGGCAACTGAAACCACCACGGTCAATCCAAGGACTATACAGAAAGGTGAAGCAAATTGTGGCACTTTTTCTCTGGCTTTGTCCCCCACTCAGCACCCACACGGGCCAAGCCCCCCAGCCGGGCCCTAGTCCTGGGCTGGAGTTAGGGTCTGCCTCTGCTCTGCTTCCTAGCTGGGAGGTCTTGGGCAAGTCACTTAACCTCTCTGAGGCTGGGTAAAGTGACACTACTACTTACCTCACAGTGTTGCTATGAGGATGAAATCAGATAACCCTGTGCTCAATTAACTTTTACTCCCTTCCTTTCTGTTCCTTCCTTGAAATGGCTACTAGGCTGCCCTTTCCAATAAAGCGCCTGGGAGACCAAAGCCATTAATAACAGGACCACTCCTTTACCCAGACTCCTCTTCTCGGCTACAGAAAGAGCTGGGAGAACACTGTTCAAACGTTGTTACTTTCCATGGAAACAGACGAGCCCTTTGAGACACTTACTCTTCATCCCTCTTCTTCTGTGACAGCTGGACAACTCCTGCAGACATTTGCTTTGTTTTTTCTTTCGTTACGAGCTGGCTTTTCGCTCCATAAAAGTTTTGAAAATGAAGACAATCCTGAATTGAAGGATGATGTGACCAAGGTATATTAAAAAGAAGAGCTGTGCGTGTGCACATAGGCACACGTGCATGTATGTATAAGTGTGTGCATACGTGTGTGCTGGGATGCAGTGGCAAACTGAGAGCTGGGAAAATACATCCTGGTCTCCCTGGTGGTGAGCCCTGGGGTGCGGGGTGGGGGTGAAGGGAGACCCCGTCATGCCCGTGTCCCCCTGGATGAACTGACACAAAGACAGGAGGCAGCCCTGCCCTCTGACACCAGAGCAATGGTTCTCACCTCTGGCTGTGCACTAGAATTGCCTGGGGGCTTTGAAAAAGAGACCAATGCCTGGATCTCCCAGATCAATTAAATCAGATGCCTTGAGTTGCTGCTAGAGCATCCGTACAGTTGTTTAGACTCCAGCAGTTCTAGTGTGCAGCCGGGGTTGAGACCCACTGCCTCTCTGAACAGAACAGGAAGGTTCAACCTCTGCTACATGGACAACTCCATCACGACCAAGTTCCCACCCCCGAGCCCCCAAGATCAACTGAATGACCATTTTTCCACATTCTGAAATTCCTGACCAATGAAATAGGAGCTAGGATGGGGCTTATTTGCTGGGCTGCAAATGATCTGATAACAAGCCCCACATCTTGTTTGCTTGGGCTACTGATTCCCGGGGGCGGGAGGCAGGACGTCAGCCCAGAGACCCACTTCTCTCGTGCAGTGCCCCTTCTTTGAGGTCTGAGGACATCTGGGTACAAGGAAGGCCTTAAAAGCTGCTCTGCTCCCCTTGTTTCTCACCTCCTTTCCTTTCCGCTTCCCACATTTACCACTACGTGTCCTAGGGTAAAACCAAACATGTAAACATATGGTCATGACGACTTTGTCAAAAGTCAAGAGTGTTCTAGGAATCCAAGGGATGAATTTTCTATCCTTTCCTTCCCTCTCTGCCCATCAGCCCATCCATCACTTTGAACTTCTTTGAGAAGAAAGAAAAGAAAGAAAAAAAAGAAAAAACACAAAACAGAACAGAAGAGGGAGAAAGGGAAGAGCAGATGGAGAAGGCTGTGCCTGCTCTCGGCAAAGAGTAAACCACCAAAAACATGAACAAGACCTGAGGGACATGGCAAACTAAGTTCAGGGACGCACTGGAACATCCCGCTTTAAAGCAGGACCAAATGTAGAGGGTCCTTAGCGTTTTATGGCTGGAACCAAAATGGCACCCCTCCCTCCCCTCTGCCCTCATCCTGCCTTGTTCTTTGAACAAAGATGATGCTGACATGACATTTCTATTAAAAAAAAAAAAATCAGTGATCAGTTTGGACCTCTCAGGCTAAATCCTCAATTTGGGAATGCAGTCAAAAGAACAGAAGACCATCCCAGAGGAAAATGGATGAAAGCCAAGCACATTTGAGTTCGGGCTTAAGGATCAGAGGCAGTGATTCTGCATGAACTGTTCTTGCCTTCCTGGGATGTGTTTTTAATGCAGTGATGATAGCCTTCCAGTGGCCGCTGGCAGCATCTCAACGTCTTCAGGGAGGAGAGGGAAGGGGGTGTTTAGGGAGCCTGTTTCCTAGCAGGCTTGGAGGTGATTACACAAGTCACGAGCACGGAGGGGGAGAAGCAGGCCCCGATGCAGCCTCTGGCTTATTAAGAGTGAGATCCGATGCTGGAATCCCTGGGGCCAAAAAAATCAATGACCCAGGAAAACTACAGCAGCTGACGGCCTCGGTAAAGAGCTCAGGGAAGAGTTGCAAAGAAGAGAAAGGCTTAAGTAACTTTCCAAAACTCTGCACCGTTCGTCTCCCTGGAGGCCCCGTACTGTACAGACCATAGCTGGGACCCCTTTCATTTTGACACTTTCTTTCACCTGGATTCACCATCCTTCTTCCATCCCCTTCTTCAGGAAGGTTGAAGGGGGTCCCAAGTTCCCTCCACCCTCCCTCTGTCTGGCTTTTTGATGTTTCCTTGTTTAGAAAAACAAGCAAGTAACTACATTGTCAAATGGTGCTCTCCAGTCCTCAGCTATTGCTGTCAGGCTCCGACAGGGAGGGTCCACTGTCTTTTTTCAGGCACTGATTTCTACACACCCCTCCAAGTGCAGGAACAGGACCTCCTGTCCCCAGGAAAGCAGGCATCAGGCTTTGAGGCCACAGTGGGGGGTGGCAGGGGCGGAGGTGTGTGTTGGAGTCATGTGATCAGGATGCACTGCTTCAACGAAAACATTCAACTGAACCCTCAGACTGTCATCTTCGGAGCTTAGGAGTTTTCCTCGATGCCGTATGTCACATGGTTACGGGGTCCCTAAAGGTTCATGAAGTTTCAAATCAAATGAATCAACTTTGAAGACTTCATCTTTCTCCCTGAGCCTTTTCTAATATTTCCCCGACGCCACACAAGATAGAATTTAGATCTAAACCTGAGTGTGTCTGTGGTTTCAGAGAAGCTTATTTTTCTTTTCTTCTTCCCAAAAGGCTCCCGAGCACTTTCTCCCTGGTCTTCACATCACAAGAGCAAGGCTGCCCAGAGGAAACATGGGAACTCCTCGTGGATGCACCTGGAAATATCACCGCCGACCCAACACTGGCTCAGGGAGTTTTAAACCCTGAAATTTAGGTTCCCATCCAAAGCAGGAGAAAATTCCTTTTATTGTTTAGTCATTTAGAAAAACATGTATGAAAGCATCCATTTCCCAGAGCAGAGCATCCCTGTTTGAGAGCTCAAGTTCACCCTCTGGAACAGTTGCTCCGTACAGACAATTCCAAACCTGGGTGGTAACCTATAGACTGCTTCAAGGATTGCAATTGCTCCACTAAAGAAACAAACTCTAAGTGTCTTTAATCTATGAAAACAATCTAATGGTTACACCGCGATTTACCTAAAGCAATATTTGTTCAGTTACGATCATGTCACAAAAGAAGGGCTTGTTGGCTTTCAGTTCTTTCCTTAACAATATTCAGAGCTTGATGGTGGCTGAACGCAGAACTGCTTTCCATAGCTTAAACCAGCAAAGAGAGAACTCTCCTAGCAGCCCAGAAAGTTCTATTACCAAAAAAAAAGTCAATAGCACTCGCTATTCGGCAGTTTCCCAGCACATTTACCATAGCGCTCTGATCCCGTGGTGCTGGATTTTAAGGACCACAGTTTCCTTGCCAAATAGACATATCTTGGCTTCCTTTGCTAGGTGGAAACACTGCCTTGATATTAAATATTCAAAGCAAAGAAACTCTGACCCAAGGGCTCTCAGCTAACAATGACATTCTCTGTAAGTAAACTAGAAACCCAACTCAGCTTCTGATTTGCCAGTGTCCCCTGCCATGTACTAGTCTGCTGCACAAATAGGGCTGAGGAACGACTCCTGTTTGCCGTGATTATACCGCAAAAGACCCTCAGGCAGGGATGCGGGAAGCCTGGACTTGGCAGGAGATGCTGGAGAAGGGGAAGAGTAGGATTCAGAGCTGCTTCCTCGGCAGGGCAGGGGCGAGGAAAGGGTGAAAGGCCTCCAACCTCGCCAGACGGAGACCCAGGTCCGATACAATGGCAAGGACGTTGTTACTCTAAGCAAGCGCGGCCGTAACGTAAGAATGCGGCTCCTATAGCCCTCGTCAACCCAGAAACTTCTCTCACTTTGCTGCGCCACACCTACAGCGCCAGAACTATCTGAGACCAGCTGCGGAAGCCTTGGTCGCAATCCCCCCAAAGAAAAGCCTCATCCTTTACTGGGAGGGGGAAATCGTTCGTTTTTTGTTAAGGCGATAGGGGACGGGCAATGGGGATGGAGGTGGGGGACGCCGGTGCCTTTTGGCGGTCAAGTCCTACCCCTCAGTCTCCTCTCTGTTCTGTAAGCTTCTACTCATCTTCTTACTGCATCTCCACCAGACCTCCCATCCCCTTGGGCTTCCCTCGTGCCTGTCGGCGCAGACTTCAGGTCAAGTGTCCTCTGGGCTGGATTCCTTACGTGGGCACCTGAGAGGCTGGCTGGGGCACACCCGGCCTATGCGGAGAGCAAACCAAGTGCAGCGTGGACCACAACACGTGTTCCAACAGCGCTGAGCGCGGCACAGGGCTCAGTTTAAGGTATTTTAAGCCGACCGGCATCCATCGGAGTCGGGTCCCTGACCCTGGGAAATTGACGAGGAGGTCAACTCATTGAGGGAAACCCTCCAAATCCCCTCCCCCCCCTCCCTTCTCGGGGGGGGGGGGGGCTCCCCTGCTACCATCCCACATGCGCAGCTACTGAATATGCTAAGGGCTCCTATTATCAGGCAAGAAAACTGGCTCTGAGCGCGCTCCAACTTTAAAGCAACCCGGCCTTGCCCCCTCGGGCGCCTGCCCCCAACCGAGGGCTCACCTGGGCGCCCCGCGGCGCCGGGGGCGCACAGCGAGGGAGGTCGCTTCTTACCGGAGAAGTCCGTGAGCGCTGCGATCTCTTTGGAGCAAACCAGGACGGTGCAGTAGAAGAGTCGCAGGAGCTGCCCGGGAGGCTCTGCCTGCCTGCGGAGGCCGGGATGCTGTGCTGGCTGGGGCGCTGGCGGTGGGCGCGCGTGTCCCGGCAGGAGCATGGTGCGCGGCGCGACAGAGCGCGGGCGCGGGCCCGGGGCGCGCGGGGGGTCGCTGGGCGGAGGGCGGCGTCACATGGCAGGGCGAGTTGATAGCCAGAGGCTCCGCGGTCCCCTGCCACCTCCTGGCCCAGGCTGCCAGACCTTCCTCCCCGCCGCGGGCTAGCACCGGCTCCAGCAAAGAGGAGGGGGCGGAGAACTGGGGCGGGGCGAGGAGCCCCGGGAAGAGTCCGCGTGGTTTCCCCGAGAGGAAATCTCCGCTGCGGCCGCGCGGGAGGAAACGAGGGCGGGGGGCGAAGGGAAAGTGTAGCCTCTCGCGCCCAGAGCTGCGGAGGCCGGTCCCTGGCGCGCTGCCCGCCGCGGAGGGCGCCCCCAACAGCGCGCCGAGGGCCGCGCAACTTTAGCGCCTTCCACGCCCGGGTCCCCGCCCCGGAGACGGCTCAGCGCCCCTGGCCTGGCCCGCGCTGGCCCCGTGCCAGCCTCGCCCTGGCCGCCTGTGGAGTGCGGCCGGTGCCCGTGACGCACTTAGGAGCCAGAGCCGCGCTTGGAGCCCGGGAGCCCCGGGGTGGGGGCCGCGGGAAGGTGGGGTACTGGAGGTGTGGGACCGCAACACTGACGTCTCTGCGACCCAGCGCGCTCCACGTGCAGAATCACCAAGCACGCACAGTTTTCCCCATTTCACAGAAGAGAAGACCGAGACCCGGAGCATTGCCCGACGCCAAAGCTTACGCAGCCAGGAGGGGAACCATCTCGGGGCTGGGGGGAGTGGAGGTGGGGGAGGGATGTGCATTGTGCTGAAAACGGATCAGATGGCTCCAGAGCCGGTTTCTTTTCGCTGCGACTACGTTTCCTTTGGGTCCTGGTTGTCCGCCGCGCTCAGGGGATCTGACACTGGACCGGCACAAACAGCCGCCGAACGCAATAAATGGGCTTTGTTTTAAAATGGGCCACAGCATCTTTCTGAATCTCTCGATTACGCGCGGTGCAACCTACGTTTGGACGCCCAGCCCGTGCGCGAGGAGCGGGCTGCACGGCTCGGGCTCGGGGGAACCGAGGACAAGTACTTGGGGGCTCCGTGGCCGCGCGCCGGGTGGGGTACCTGGGGTCCAGGAACCCAAACCCCGCGGACTGCGCTGGGCGTCCGGGCCAGGCGGCGCCGGCGGGAAGGAGGAGGGCCGGGCGGGCGGGCTCTCGGCACTAAGTGTTCCCGAACACCGCGGGAGGGCATGCCAAGTTCGCGGCGGGCCTGACGCGGAAATGTAGATCATGAGGCCCAAGGGCGGGCCCGGGCGCCCTGCGCCGGCCGGCTCTGAACTGCACCGCGCACGCCGCAGAGTGCGGCGGGGAGGCCTGGACAGAGAAAACCGAGACTCGCTGGCCTACCTGGGGGAACCTCTTAGAGGTGGGCTACAAGGATCCCGGCGAGCTGGATGTCACTGCGTCTCACACCGTGCTCCGGCAGGGGCAGGGGCAGGGCCAGGAGAACTCGGATTCCGGCCATTACCTCCCTGTCTTGGGCTAGGGGTGAGAGGGGCAAATGCAAACATCAATATTTGTTAGTGGGACCCAGTCTACCAGGCACAATGATTTTTTAAATTTACATTAAAATATTCAACCTTCTCAATAACCCTTGGACCTAAGTATTCTTGTGCACTTCTAGGCTGGGGAAACTGAGGCAGGGAGGGTGGGTAAGGATGCCCAGCACTTAGCAGCCATTCAGTAAGAGACGTTTGCTTAAAACTCGGTTCCCTGATGTTCTTTCCATTCCATTCATCCATCTGCTTTAGATATGAATTAGGTACCTACGTACCTGGGGACACTCCTAACACAGGAAGGGAACCATGCTCCCTCAGGGCTGGTGGCTGCCACCACTGTCCCGTAGGGATGTGCTGGTTTCCAGTTGCCAGTGTGGACACTGCTACTAGGTGTGACGGCATCCCCAGATCTCCTTACCTGTAAAGGCATCAGGCTTATTGTGAGAATTGAATGAGTTGAAACAGGTGACATGGGTAGGACAAGGCCTGGAACGAGTAAGTACTCAGTATTAGTCATTGGTACAGTGAGGAAGACAGACATTGAACAGGTAATGCCAAGGGAATGCCAAGGAGCCATGGGAACGAGACCCAGGGAGGGAAGGAGGAAGGGAAGGAGGTGTTAGGGACCTTTTTAAGACAAGATGGGTGAGAAAGACGGGAAAAGTTGGCCAAGCAAAAGCTAGGTATCAATATTTGGGGAGGATGAACATCTTAGGAAAAGGGATCAGCATATGTGAAATCCCAAAGAAGCATGGCTCCAGAAATGCGTGCAGGACATGGAGCAGAGAGAAAAGGGCAGGGCAGGGCGATGTGGAGAGGTCAGCTGCCAGAGCTCAGGGACCCAGAGACCTTGGTGAACGCTTCCATCTTTTTTTTTTTTTTTTTTGGCCACACTGCCCAGCTTGTGGGATTTTAGTTCCCCAACCAGGGATTGAACCCGGGCCCTTGGCAGTGAAAGCGAGGAGTCCTACCCACTGGAATGCCAGGGAAGCCCCAGAACACTTCCATCTTTATCCTAAGCCCTTGTGAGCACTTCCGTCTTAAGCCAGCAAAGGGTTGTAAGCAGATGAGTGATGCAATCAGGTGTGTGTTGGTAAAAGATGACTCTGGCTTCTGAATGCAACTGGACTGGAGGGGTCAACAGTGGGTCCAGGGATTATACTCCTAAGAACTGGAAGCAAGGACTCCAAGAGATATTTGTACACTCATGTTCATAGCAGCATTATTCATAATAGCCAAAAGGTGGAAGCAACCCAAGTGTCCATCAATGGATGAATGGATAAACAAAATGTGGACTGTGATCCAGTCATAGAAAGGAATGAACTTCTGATACACGCTACAGCATGGAGGAACCTTAAAAACATTATGCTAAAAACAAACAAACAAACAAACAAACAAAAAAAAAACATTATGCTAGGTGAGATAAGAAAATGATAAATATTGCATAGTTCCACTTACCTGAAATATCTAGAATACACAAATTTGTAGAAACAGAAAATAGATTAGAGGTTTCCAAGAGTTGAGAAATAGGTGGTGGTGATGGCTGTATGACACTGTGGATGTAACTAGGGCCACTTGATTGTACACTTAAAATTGCAATTTTTATGTCATGTAGTTACCACAACTTCAAAAAAATGAATGATGTAATAGGCCAAAGCCCGCTGAACCATAAATGGGTGAGTTGTGTGGTGTGCGGATTATATCTCCGTAAAGCTGGGGTGGTTTTGTTTGTTTCTTTGGCTTCACAGAGCGGCATGGGAGATCTTAGCTCCTTAACCAAGGATCGAACCCGTGCCCCCTGCAGTGGAAGCGCAGAATCTTAACCCCTGGACCGCCAGGGAATTCCCCCATAAAACTGTTTTTTCGTTTAAATTTTTTATTGAAGTATAGTTGATATACAATGTTGTGTTAATTACTGCTGTACAACAAAGTGACTCAGTTATATGTATATGTATATATACTATATATATATTCTTTTAAAAAATTCTTTTCTTTTTCATATACTTTTCCATTATGGTTTATTACAGGTTCTTTTTTGCGGTATGCAGGCCTCTCACTGTTGTGGCCTCTCCCGTTGCGGAGCACAGGCTCCGGACATGCAGGCTCAGCGGCCATGGCTCACGGGCCCAGCCGCTCCGCCGCACGTGGGATCTTCCCAAACCGAGCACGAACCCGTGTCCCCTGCATCGGCAGGCGGACTCTCAACCACTGCGCCACCAGGGAAGCCCTATTACAGGCTCTTGAATATAGTTCCCTGTGCTATACAATAGAACCTTGTTGTTTATAAAGCCATTTTTTTAAAAAGATCGAACAAAGACCGCAATGTGGGTCCAGGGAGATGGTCTGGAGGGGAGGGGAGCCTGGAGGCTGTGACTGAGCATCGGGCTGGCGCTTTGCAGGTCCAGAGAGAAGGGAGGAGTGGCCAGATTGGAAAGGTGTTCGGGAAGGATGGAGAGCGCAGTGTGCCTGGGTGCTTGTGGGATGTGAGTGACGAGGCTGGAGGACAGGTCCCTCCCTGCCCTCTGCTGTGCCCCTCAGCTGCGCCCTGTTAAATCATCTTACTCCTAACCTGATGTCTTTAAGAATTTTGGAATCTTGCAAGAAAATTAAAGAATTCCATTTATTTTCCCCTCTGGTCCTCATACTTTGTGTGCCCCCAACAGAAGGGAAGCCAGTTACTCCCCGCCCCCATTTCCCTCTCTGAAAATATTATACAATCAAATACCTAAACAATGGGGTACTAACCAGGACCAGCTCCAGAATTCACTGGCCCAGTGCAAAATGAAAACGCATAGCTCCTTGTAGAAAAATTATCCCAAATTTCAAGATAGTGATAGCAGGGCATTAAACCCAGCGTGGGCTCTGAGCACAGGGTCCTGAGTTACTACACAGGCCACATACCCATGAAGCTGGCCCAGGCACTACCAGTATCTCCTGTCTCAGATATGGAAACCGACAGCACGACCCTCACAGCTCATCTGTGGCAGAATTTGAAGTCCTCTTAAACTGCAAAGGTGCAGCAATTAGGGGATGAATGTCAACATGGAGTTAACTAAGAGCCTTCCTTTCTATGCGATGGTACCATTGGCTATCTTGCCCCTTCTCGCATGTGAGATTGAGAAGTGTCTCTGTACCTGGAGCGTTCGTTCTGTGTGTAAGAGGATCCTTGCAGGATACTGTAAATTACATACCTTGATTCCTGCCTTTTTTCCCCTTCCTTTTGAAGCAACTCTGTGCCTTCTTTCCAGCTCTAAGTTACATCTCTATTTTCCTCCTTCCTTGAGATCCTGGCTACTCCCCTCCCCACATAGCCAAACCTGCTTTGGAGGATGTTTGTGTGCTGGGCACTTAAACTCCAGCCTGAACCTGTGCTCTTACTGGGCTATCAAAGTAAGGCTTTGGGGCTTTCAACAAAGATGGGCTGCAGCCGTTCTGAGAAGACATAAGCCATCATTTGTCAGCTGCAAAGAAACCAACCTTTCAGCTCAGGATACTGAGGCCGAACGTTGTCCAGAGCTAAAAAGGCTTATTTTTAAAAAGCAACAAACGGTGGTTTGTTCATAGAGCTGGCACGAAAGAGCCACATCGATAGCAAAGGGCTGCTTGCTGAAGACTGTGAAAGCTGGGATGCACTTGAGAGGCCGTGGGGGGAATGTTTGGCCCAAAAGCCTATGGAAGGAAACCTTTAAGAATATGGGCTCAAAACTGGTGTCCGTCCAAGGTCAAAGGCTTCAAGTGCCATAGCCTGTACTCTGCCCCTGACAGACAGCCACAGACGGAGGCGTTGGACCTCCCTGACTTTCGTCTGCAAAATGAAAATGGTGGACTCAAAAAGTCCATTTTGGCTCTAAAAGTCCACAGCCTATTTAAATTAGATGTAGGATTTCAGGAAATTGGGCTAAATCGATACTGGTTCCAAGACATTCCTTAATGTTTTCTTAAATACATATTTTCATTTCTCTCAGTTTATTTTTATGTTGTTCATATTTTTCTCTTTATAGAAGAAGAATGTAGCATGAGCAAACTTGGGGGGGGATTCCTGAAGCATTGTGAATGATTGAATTCTGATTCTTGGGAGTTTTCAGCGTAAACATTCCCAAGTATTCAAGGTGGTAAACTCCGTTTCTGGAGGAGAGCATGTCTCCATCCTGGAAGGAGAAGACACCCTTTTCCCCTCTGAGGCTGGAAAGCGCTGTTCCCACAGAAGCCCTGAGGCTGCTCCCTGCTGCCAGTGACACAGCAAATGCTGCGGGGAATCCAGCCTGCCTGGACCGCACCTGAGAGCAGGGAAGTTTTCTCCAGAGATCGCAACCCTCTACTCTTCCTACCTCGTTCTGTGCCATCAGAAGGGAAAGTGTGCTGATGGAAGGATGTTCCATAGTTGGTTTGGGAAAAACACATCTAGCTCTGAACTACCAAGCTTGTCGTGCCAGATGACACAGCGTGTGGCAGTGGGTAATTGTATGGCCTCCATGGTCAGAGCTCAAGGGTTCGAATCCCAGCTCTGCCACTGTTGGTACTTGAGTTGTGGATGGTGGTACAGTTTAGAGCGGACCTAGATGAGAGGCAAGTCAAGGCAGAAGCCCCATACACGGTAATAAACATAACCATCTCGT